CGTCTCTTCCATATTTGATGTGCATGGATCTATGCATGATCTGTTGAAGGACTAGATCATTTCCTCTAAGCTCTCATGGTACTAGTGTTATTGATGCTATGAGAATAAGAGACAAGGAATTGGGACATCAGAAGAGTGGGGAAGTCACAAGAAGGGTAGCCCAGAGCAATCGACAGGAAAGAAAACCGTATCAGGGAAGTGGTTAAGAAAAATGATATGGCATAAAGTTTTTTAATCTGTACTAGACTGCTTAAATACAGAATTTTGGGGAAGTTAGCTATTGTTTTGACTCTCTTCAAGTCAATAGTGTCATGCTACTTTCCATCAGCTTCCTAATCGTTGGACCTTGAAATATTGGAGTCTGGACGAATTGGTCATCATACCTGCTTGGCTTGTAGAAATCCAACCCTGTAGCATTCCTGAATCTATATTAAAAATAAGTTGACTAAAGGCAAAAAGAATTTGAGAACAAGGCCAATGTGGTAGTATATAGAGGACAAAGACAGCTACTGAACTCTGGAGTTCTCCATCATTTGGCTGATCCTTCAGCATATAGTTGCCTGGTTAAGTAGAAAGCCATTTGAGCTGAGAGAAGCCACTGGGATGTTGGTAAGATGAATGGGAGCATGGAGGAGATGACTGAGTGGATGCATAGATGGGAAGGTGGTATCCCAAGTCTTTCAAGGAAGCCATTTAGAACTTATTAGAAGAGGTGGGGACATCATAATTAAGCCTATCTTGGTGTATTTAAGTCCTATGGATAGAGGATAAAGTCTATTTAAAGCTCAAAAAAAAGTTAGAACTGATCTTTCCAGTGGAATCAAGAGAAAGTAAACCCAACCTGAGTTTTTCCAAATTAAATAATTCATTCATTCATTCAAGAAATATCCATTTATGTACAAGCACAGTGGGGAACATAAAGATATAAAAGATGCACTCTTTGCCCTCAATGACCTTATAGTCCAGTGCTGGAGATGAGACATACATACATATAAGTAAAAAAACAAACCAGTCAGTAAAATAAGTCCCATATAAGTGATATAAATAAGCTTCAGAGGAGCAAGAGCTCATTCAAGTTGGGGTGCTTAGGGAACACTGTAAGGACAAGGATGAAGTATCTGAGTTGGATCTTGAAGCATGGCTAAGATTCTGACAGCTGAAGATAACGGGGAGGGCATTTCAGGCATAGTCAATGATGTGGGCAAAGCAAAAAGGAAGATTTACACGTACGTGTGTGTGTGAGTGTGTGTGTGTGTGTGTGTGTGTGTGTGTGTGTGTGTGTGTGTGTGTAATTGCAAATACATCAGTTTGGCTAAAGCATAAAGTTCATAAAGGGAAGTAATAAAAGGAGATAACTGCTAGAAAGGCAGATTGGGGCCAGATTATGGAAAGCCTAAATATTATGTTCAGAAAAATGATGAGGTTTCCCACCCCTCCCACCCCCCCACCAAGGTTTATGTCATGTGATTACTTTATGTACCCTTTAGCCTAGCCATACTGAACTACTTACTGCCTTTCCCATCACTCTCTTGGCCTTTATTTGTGCACTCCCTAGGATTAGAATAGCCTCTACCTACATTTCCATCTATTGGAATCTAAAACCACTCTTCAAGGTTAAATTCAAATGCCACCTTCTCCATGATACCTTGTCCCAGCTATAAGTCATCTCTCTCTGTCCTGTGAACTTTCAAAGTACTTTTTTTTGGTACCTCAGATTTTCATAGTCTATTTTGTATTCTCTTTAGTCTATACATTCCATTTATTTGTGGACATGACTTATTCCCTACTACAAGACTGTAAGAAACTTGAGGGCAGGATTGGTCTAATCCATTATTGAACTGAACCATAGGTAAATGAATGACCCAGGAAGGTTTTAAACAGGGAGAGATGTGATCAGAGTGTTGATTTAGGAAGATAACATTTGGTAGTAGTACAAAGGCAGCTAGTGATGCAGTAGATAGAGAGCTGGGCCTAAAGTCTGGAAGACCTTAGTTCAAATCTAGCCTCAGACAGTTCCTAGCTATATGACCTAGAAAAGTCACTTAAGCTCTGTTTGCCTCAGTTTCCTCATCTGTAAAATGGAGATCATAATACCATCTACCTCCCAGGGTTGTTGTGAGGACCAAATGAGATAATAATTACGAAGTGCTTAGCACAGTGCCTAGAAGAACATATTAAGTGCTACATAAATGTTACCTATCATCATCACCATCATCATCATCATCATCATCATCATCATCATCAATCTGAAATGGAATAGGGAGAGTTTGGGACAGGGATACCAATGGCTACAGAATTATATTAGTAAAGTGATAAGGATCCAACATAGGGTGAAATAAAGGAGGAAAGAGAGATTATGAAGGCAGACACAATGATAAGACTTGGTCACTCAGTACTAGGGGCAAGGGAGAGGAGGAGTCAAATATAATTTTATGGTTTCAAGCCTATGGGATTGGGAGAATGATGTTGAAACTGATAGAAATGGGCACATGGGAGGAGGGGAGAAAAAAGCTGTTTTTTGGGGAAAGATTATTTTGTTTTTTTGATATGATGAACAAGAAGCTGGTGGGACCATGGTAGGAGATGAGGATTCCAAGGACAGAGTTTTGGGGAATGTCTACACTGGGGAGGAAGACAGACCACAGTTCTGTTTCTTACTAATTAACTTCTCAGAAGCTCTGTTTCCTCATCTATATAACGAGGCATTGGAACGAATGATTTCTAATATTTCTGCCAGCTCCACCAAAGAACAGTTGGAAAGACATGAAAATCATTTTAGTGTAGTAACAGTGTCATAGAAACCAAGAAAAGACAAAGTTCCTCAATGGTCAGTTTTCAATAACAGTGTTAAGTGCTCCAAGGAAGTCAAGGAGGATGAGGCCTGAGAAGAAGTCAGTGGATCTCGTGATTAGGTTGCCACTGTTTACCTTTAAGGGAGATGTTTTGGTAGGAAGGAAGGAAAGGAAACAAATATGTATTAAGTGCCTACTATGTGCCAGGCATCGTGCTGTGTGCTTTAAAGATACTATCTCATTTGATCCTCACCACAACCCTGGGGGGAGGTAGGTGCTATTATGACCCCCATTTCACAGTTGAGGAAGCAGGCAGAGAGAGGTTAAGTGACTTGCCCAGGGTCACACAGCTAGTAAGTGCCTGGGATTAAATTTGTACTCAAGTCTTTCTAGCTCCATTTCTAGCACTTTATACACTGAGCCAACTAGTAATAAAGAGAAGAAACCACATTGCATGGGTAGAAGAAAGCATAAGTTGAGAGGAAGTAGATGTAGTCAGAATAGATCAAAAGGTTCGGCTACAAAAAAAAGGTGAAGCACCGACCCTGGAGTCAGGAGGACCTGGGTTCAAATCTGGTCTCAGACCAAACACTTGACACTTACTAGCTGTGTGACCCTGGGCAAGTCACTTAATCCCAATTGCCTCACTCTCCCCCCCCCCAAAAAAAAGGTGAGGAAAATAAGGGCAACAGAGTCACCTAAAAGTTTTTTCAAGGTAAGTGAAGACTAAGATATTTATAGGCAGGGAGAAAAAAAAAACCAGTGGGGAATAGATTGAATTCATAAGATAGGAAAGACAAGTCACAGAGGAAGGGCAGCTAGGTGATACAGTATACAGAGGCTGGGCTCTGGAGTCAGGAGGACTTGAGTTCAAATTCGGCCTCAGATACTCACTAGTTATGTGACCCTGGGCAAGTCACTTAACCCTGTTTGCCTCCCCCCCCAAAAAGTCATGGAGGAGATGGGGAAAAGAATGTAGACATCTAGAAAGAAATTTTGAGTGGGAAGAAGGAAAGAAAGGTGAAAGCAGTTCAACTTTCTTGGTAAAGAGGAGAGATAATCTGATGAAAGTGGGGAAATAGGAGAGACAGAGAAGGAAAGTGATTTGGAAAAGTCATTGAGGGAAGCAATCAACCAGACAGGATTGTCAGTCAGGTGCCCAGCTGAAGCTATGCAGTGGGACTTTGTAATGGGCTTGGTCAATGTGGTCCTGTGATTTTCTCTGGGAATATTCTATAGCCCAGAGAACAAGAATGGAGAAAGCAAATGGCGGCGGTGAGATTTAAGGGACCAAGGAAGTTTGGGGCACCAATAAGCTCAAGTTAAAAGAGCTGAGTGGTGTCCCAGTTGGACAGGGAGTCCAATTAGTGAGGTTCTAGGCATGAAGCTGGTATGGGATGCAGGAGAGGTGAAAGGTTTAGGCTTCAGTCAGAGTGAGGGCACAATGCTCTCGGATCCAACAAACAAATGCTTATTGAGCATCCAGCAAGTGGAAGGCACTGTGCTTCTATCAGAAAGGCTGAGGACAGAAAGGACTTTGAGAAGCCTCACTTTCACTAGCTACTCTTCTGATCACTGCTTCAAACCACAGGAGTTCAGGACTACACTATAGAAACTCTTAGCAGTAGCAAACACGGTGCCAGGTGAATCTTCAATAGGGCAGGATGTAGGGCTGTAACTAAGGAGTCTTGGCTGGTGGCCATCTGGTAGACTATTCACTGTGCACTGAAAGAAAAGGCTCAGGTTACAGAATCAACTTGGGTTACTGAAAGGCATTCCTGTAACTGAGTAAGCTCCGAGTAAGGGGGACCAGCAGCTGAGAAAAGTTCCCTCCCACAGAAAGAGCCCAACGAAAGCATGCACACGGTACCAAAACCCAAGAAGATCATTTGGATCAGAAGAAGTTTCCCATCCTCTCCCCAGCTCCCAGAAAGCTAAAACACAGCAGAGCACATGTCAAAACAAGCAACCATAATGCCCAAGTGCTGTCAACAAAGCTTTGAATTTTTAATTATGCAACATATTGGAATGTTAATGAGCAAGAAAATGCAGTTGGTATTAAAAAAAAAA